AAGCCCACGTATCACAGTTGTGCCGCCGTTGTCGCGGCTCGAAAGTGCGCGAAAACTGCGCTTCGGGCGTACAAAGTGGTCTGGTGGCAGCTGGTAAGAACATACGGACGAGATACTTAGCACCCCTAGCATGCAATGTGGATTACGACATAGCAGATAAGATAGCCGATCGGTAGAACACGGCCCTTCTTCGCTATCACTATCAATCGCTGTTACCTCACTAATTCGATGAGGCTTCAATAGATTGGAAATGAAAAAAAATCAGCAATCAACTTTGGCGCCTTTAACGCACAGTGCTGATATTCAAGTGAAGAAAGTTGCTCCAGCTTTATGTAACGGAAACCAGTTAATTTCAGTACGGCGACTGAGCGAATGCTACCGGAAGATAGTTTCTATTGAAATGTCAACTAACCACCCTCCCCTTTGTGATATGCATTGCGTAGTCAGGTTGACCACTTCGTAACCCTGGACCCTGTTCATGCATCGCGGTTAAAGCGAAATGGCGCTAATGCTGAAAGGCAAACATAGTATCGATCTAAAATTTGCCGATTACGCGATAAAGCGACTTGACGATTTGGCGGTTATGTTCAAAGGACTAGGATGCACATTGATTGAACTGACGCCGCCCAATAACCATTCGTCGATACGATATGTCGACGATCCTCTAGTCGATACGCATACATTCCTTTCACCATAACCGCTAAATCGTCAAATCGTCAAATTGCATTAACCGCGATCTATGAACGGGGGCCTTACCTTCTTTGCGGACTTACTGCGCTGGTCTATGATAGCAATGTTCTGCAAACGAAAGAGGCCATAATCTACCACGTCAAAGTTTAAGCGTGCCCCTAATAAACCTTGAATAGATGACTTTGAGCATTACCGAATCACGCCTCAATTTACAACTTTTTCAGATATATCTCATGATTGATTTGATGTTCGCATACTTCCGACGGGAAGCGGACGAGATCTCAGCGTCTCTGGTCACCAACAAGACCAATTTTGTTTTACATTGAGTTGTTTTGTTACTTACAATAAATGTTAGTACGACCACAAGGACTGTTTCTTGAATGTTGAATGGCAGTGACAAGTGGGTTATTTGAGTCAAAAATTTATTTACATGAGCATTGAAATTACCTCAATCCAGCTCAGTTTTGCGCAAGATGCTGTTGCGTAATGAGTGGTTTCGGCCGGTTTCTGAATACCAATTTGCGTGTTATGATAGCATCGATTATCATTGATCGTTTATCAGCATCCTCATCTTCCCTCGGTGTCGGCCTGATTACTGCGAAGGGCTTTTCGAGTTCGAGAAGCTGAATAAGAACGTCAAAAAATAAATATAGAAAAGCTACAATTGAAGAAGAAAAAAGATAAGTGCGTTACACTAATCCTTCCGGACGATGCGCCACGCATTACTCTCTTGAGAATTTGCTAGTAATTCGATTTAGCCTTAGCCATGATTGGTGCCTCTACATCAAGTAGAAGTGTGGAATTGGAAAAGACATTATTTTCAGCTTTCACAAAAAACCGGGATTATGTAGCCAAAATCAAGCAGAACGAACACTTTGTTAGCCTTGGCAGGGCTTGGCAATCCCGTCGAGAACAAGCTCACTCGGATAGTTTTACGAAGCAAAATCAAACGCTGTAAAAATGAGTAGACCGCTTACAACGGTCCCTCAAACGTTTCCTTCATGGTGAAACTTGATGCAAAACTAGTGCAAGAGGAAGCGACCTGAATGGGTTGCTCATTCTTCCAAAGGTGCTGATGGACCATGAAGGATTAACAACCACGCATCTGCCTGCCAACATAGAAGTGAGACTCTCAGACACTGTTGTATGAGTCCACCTAACGATAAGACCAGTTACAGAGGGACAGAGTATAGTTCATATCTCGAAGTCGGATTAGGCGTGTCTGTGAATTTGACGTGGCTGTCGCC